TTGACTGTTCTTGAATCAGAAATCATATAAAAATGTTTATTTTTTTTCAAGAACAGAAGAAATGCGAGGCATCCGTAATTGCGGGACTCCAACTTCCGCATCTTTCCTAGATCACAAATCGAATATCTTTGTAACTCGCATCTCTTTGAATTCAGATTTACAGGTATTTAAATGTATTCTGCGTGTCACGTTTTTATTTTGATCCAAAGAAAACGTGCTCTGAAGCAAGATGTCGCAGGATGAAAGGGTGTATGAGAAACTGTCCGAACACGGGGATTATAAGAGCCCTGATTTTTTTTAATGCAGTATTTCAAATTCAAAAGAGAGTATTGGGTTTGTGAGTTTTCTTGGCATATCCTCATCAAGTCATATTTGTGATTTTAATCTTGTAACAGGTGCTCAACGTCTAATTTCATTATTTTTCATCATCCATTCAAACAGCAAGGGGTTTATGGATTTTAATGAGAAGGTAAAATTATTTTTATTGTTTTATCTCTTTCACTCGAACTGTGTCAGGAAATCTGAAGGCAAAATTTAGAGTATGTTCAAAAATTGTAAAGCATTTTGTTTGTCTCCAAGAAAGGATTTCGTACTAACGGAAATACAAAGCGGTTTTCAGGAGAAAGATACTGTGTTAGTGCGATGTCTTACATGAGAACGGATTTTAAGCTTAATTTTATCGACGTTTTCGAATTTTCAACATGCACTGAAAGCTTGCTTTTCTTGCCTTCTCGCGTCATGTAAACGCGCCGAAGTTATCCGGTAATTTTCCGGACTATTTTAATATCCAATTTTTTTATGCTTCTCTTCTGATCCTCCCCAACCTTAAGGAGCTTCAGAAATATTAACGACGATGCAGAGGGATTTCAAGGGACATTACGTATGTAAGGATTTCACGTGAGGGAGACTTTAAGATTAGTTGCCTCAATATTTCCGGCTGGAAACGAAAAATGGCTTGCATGCATCTGTCGGCATTCCCTTATCGCATCCTATCCACACACTGAGGTTATCCTGAATCCCCCCCCGTCACAGTTTCTGCACTGCCATACAGGGTCGCCAGCCGAGTTCTCTTCCGTCCCCCCCGTGTCCGCACGGGGGTCGGAAACCCTCGTACCCCTCCTCTAAATTGAAGATATGAATCATTTCCGCAGATCGGAGGGTAGGTTGTTCCGGAATGACGACGATGGGGTGAGGGGAAAGTGTAGTACGTACTGTGTCGGAATTTCCTCCCCGAGCCTTTTCCCCGTATGTGTCGTCAATTCCGTGTCGTCATCTCTGGAGAGTTTCCGGGTTCCGTAATTCGGGTTCCCTTGGCGAACGAGGGGTTGGACGCGTTACTTGACGCAGGCGAAGAAGAGCTTTCTATATTTTATTTCTTTCCCTCTTTTTATTATTTTATTTTGCCCTGTCGAAGCCCCGGGGTTTTGTGAGGGTGGCGAGGAAAATCAGCCATTCTGGATTCAGCGAACGCGGAGGATTTATGCAGCTATCCATCGCGAGTCCTTGCGAATTTTATTCGCCGTTCTGCAGAAATCACCCGTTGTCTCTTTGACCAATGCTCGAGAACGAAGTTTTTATGATAACGCGATTGGGTTCCGAATTTCTTCCGCCTTCATGGACGCTTCTCGGATATAAAATATACTGTATTTATGTAAGTTGGGCTGCATTTTTGAAATCTCTGGTTAGTATAGGGTGGACCAGAAAACAATCGAAACGATTTGCGAACTGCAATAAAATCACGTATGGTTTGAGTAATTCGCAGAGAAATATTTTCCATTTACAGTACAATTAGTTAATTTTTCAAAGGATTGAAAACCTATTTCAACAAAGCGTAATCATTAAAATCGAGAGAATTTCATCTCGAAGAAGCGAGATTATTCTTTAACGTAGTCCGATATACAAGACCCAGTTTTTCAGAATTTTCAGAGCATAACATTATCTTTGGACATAAAAAAATAGTATGTTCAGAAAAGTCTCCCATGAAATTATTTTGATTTTCTTAAAATCTTGCTTGTCAAGTTTTCCATTTGGCGCGATGTTTTTTTTTTCGACTAAAACAGATTTTCGATGCGTTCCCCGTAAGGAATGCATGTTTTGCTGTAAAATACAAAGGAATTTGCTGATAAAAGCGAGCGAAATATTTTAGTCTCTGTTGGAAAGCTTGCTGAATGTATTCCCGAAATGGAGGGTGAAGAAGCTCAGTTATCTGCAAAAAAATGAACGAAGAAAATAGACAGTGTCACATTTCTACCGATATTTTTCCTGGAAAAGTGAGAGAAAGAAGTCGAGAAAAGTCGTGATCGTGTGAAGAAAATCCTACTATAGAAAGCTTTCCAGACAACATTGTAGCAAGTTGAGTGCGTTTTCAGACCCGAATCGGTGGCCTGGAACAGGTGCTTTTTCCCCTCGATGCGTCTTCTCGCTGACAAGACGGCGGCTCGCGAATACGCAGAAATGCGCGAGGGTCAATATTTGCGCGAACAAGATCGAAGAGCTTCGGGCATTTCAGCAGTAGAAAGAGGGAATGCCTTCGAGGCGCTGGTCCGCGATCCAGACGCATTGATTGATTGATCAGTCTGCCAATCAATCAATCAATCAATCACTGACGCGATCGAACTTTCCTCGTTCAAGTTTCGGCAGCGATCGTAAATTAGTTTTCTTATTTTCCTGGGCCGAAACGCTGCCTTGTGTTTTACTTTATTTTTCAGCTGAATTTATGTATTTTTTCATTCAAACTCATCTTCCGGTTTGAAAACTTCTGTTACGCTAATTAACAAAGGGGTTCTTGATCTATTACATCTCATTTTAGAGGAATGTTGTTTCGGTAACCCTGGTGACTACCTCGTAGCAAAATTGCTTTTTAAAGCAATACTTCTTTGAGAAATAACGTTGTGTCTACTTTATGGGGACCAGAAAACGAATTCGTTGTAATTGATTGCAATATTCGTCGTAACGAGATTATATCGTACAGTACTGTAATTGTTTTGACTAGACTCCAAGATGAACCTGCTTTTTTTACAAAACAAATTTAGGCAGAAAAATGCGTTAATATTCTATTTAATTCCGAGGAATAAATTACTCTCCATTTACCTATTTCCAGCCCGGAACCTGCAATCGTGTGCTTTTTCTGGACTTCATTGATTACCAATTTTCTCCTATTCCCAATATTTTCTGATTTTTGCATGGATTATAAGTAAATTTTGTTTTTCTGTAAGCCGCATTTCATCCATGAAAATATCCATTTTGCTGCCTTAGTATTTTGTTTTCCTGAAGTGGCCAAAAATCAGCATGAAATCCGGTGCTTGGTTATTGTATGGATATTTCTCCCCAATCTTGCGAATTTACATTTTTGTGACATACTGCAGAGCGTATTTAAGTACAGCATTATTTTCTGGGTGGATGGACATTTCCCTCCAAAATTCGCAATTTTTGTGCCGATTTGAACAATTTCTCCCTCAACTTGCCGCCAAAAATTAGGGCGCGGGAAAGCGTCGTAGTTCTCTGCCGAAACCCATGATCGCGCTGTGATGGAATTCTGGCTGACGATCGATTATTGTGCGGAAAACTATGTATTAAAAAAAGAAAGGAACAAATCAACAAAATATATGAGACCTTTGTGTCCTGTAACACCCAAAGATCGACGAGAGAACGATACGCTGACGTACGACCTCTTCCTCCCCTATTTACACGTCAGCCTTACTGTTTTTCGCGTGCTGTGTCGCGATGACTGCGACTGAGCAGGCAGCTCCCTATAGAAAGGGGGTTGTGGGGTTTTATTGCCTTCGATGTGATTTCTGGATGCGTTCGGGGGGGGGTCGTGATGGTGGCGGCTGGGGGGTGATCACGATTACGGCTTTTCCAGGGGGTGAGGCCTTCCCTCTAAAGGAAAGGAAACAACGCAAAGTAACTAAACGAGAGACAAGGACACAACGGTTCCACACTAGGAGGGAGAAGTAATCGAGACACAATAAGAACACTACCACGTCTGTGAGCCAATATCACGGATTAAAGTGGGATGGGTTAAACAATTGAACCTCCCTAAGTCGAATTCTTTGAAGTCCCCGTCTGAATTTCCTTGGAAACAATGCATTAAAACCTCTCTAACTCGAAGGCGTTTCCTCTCAAATCTCCGTGAGTCAAATTTTCTGAGGCCTTTTTGGCTATTATTTTCTTGATATAGGAATGAGAAACGCATTAAGAAAGTTAACTTGATAAATTTTGAAAGGAAGTGAAAGACTAATTGGGTAAAAGAAGCAATTAAATGCCCAAAATATCACCGTTTACAATTTCCTGCAATTTGTCTATTTTCTCGCAACAAAAAGGCTTGTTTCCCTGACTCAAAGCATTCTTGGCTCGGTTTATTATTATTTTTTGCTGGTCCTTTGAAATTGGAGTTCGAGAGGTTCGATTGTACTGTGCTGTATTTGCTCATCGCAGGAGAACTTTGTGTCTCACCTTTCCTTTGATTTTTTTTAAATATAGTTTTCTTGTGTCAGCAGCTTTTTTGTTACTTGTGATAAATGTGTGGATTGTCCTATGACATAAATTGGTGTGTAAGAATTTGCTCAAGTCAGCGTTTCAAAAAAACCGTGCCAAACTGCCAAAAGTACCGTATCACTCGTAAAAGAAAAATTATTTTGGGAAAATAAAAATCTGTTGTCTGACTTCGAATCAACGAAAATGCAGAAAGTTCGCAGTGGGCTACTTACCCAGTAAGGGATATTTTTTTTAGACTTCTTTCCTCCAAGTTGATTTCAGATCAGTTGTGATGGTGCTATTTGACCCGAGACTGTATAACCGTGACCTTGTCTACTGTCAGATGTTCCTTTGTCTTTTGTTTTTGAAATTTAAGACGTAAAATGCTGCATCTTGACATGAATGTCGCGACTCGAAATCCCTGCGTTGATAAAGCTTGGACAGAACTCGTAACTGAAGCGAAACTACAGCAGCAACAACAACAAAGAAGTATTTGAGTGACAGACGTTGGAAATTGTTCCCGCATGTTGTTTGGGGACAACGAGAAGACGGATTGCACGGAATGCAATTACGAAGTCGTGTTACAACCCGCAGTCCTGTCGGGATTTATTGCCCCGGGTGTCGGGGATTCGCTTCCGGTTTCTGTGGTGTAAAAAAGAGGGGGGGAAGAGAAGACGAACCCCCGATTGTCCTCGCGAGACAAAACGAACCTAACCGAACCAGCCGACTGTCACTCCTTGACAAGAAGGACTCTTGTGTATTTTCATTTCTCTGCATTGTTTTCACGTCCTCGACTGTTGCTCTATACTGACGAAATGCCGGAGATGGACGTTGAGTTCTTCCTCCCTTTGTTTTTGTTCTGAAAATTTCGTGATGCTGCACGGGTTTTTCGAGGAGATGAGGAATGAACGCTGTTTGCATGCATTCAACGGAAACCCTTTTTGTGGTGCCGCATTTTTTGCTCATGAATTAGGTTTTGTTTGGAATTTTTTTGCCGATTTGCGCTTTGAGCAGGAAAAAAAATAATACATAGTTTTCCGCACAATGCAGGGGGGGGGGGCAGGGAAAATTAAAAAAAGTGCGAACCGATGACGGCAAGCAACTTTATAATAGTAGATTTTCTAGCGCTTCAGCAGTGTAATTGTATATTTCAGCTGCAACGAAAGAAAATTGATAGTATGAGATGTCTCGGAACTTATCACCTTGGTTTGGTGGATTATTATTTTTTGCGCGCAAATAATCCATTGATAAAAATCTATTTACGGCATCGTTCTGAATGTGAAATTTACAACAGAAAAAGGAAACAGTGAGAAATTGTTTGCTTGTAGAAACGTACTAAATAACACTGATGGGACTTTGATCAAGATATAATAGCTGATGGTTTGAGCTAACCATCGGAACTTCCCTGTCGAAATCAAATTTTTGGGTAGTTTCTGATGACAATCTGTTTTTCGAATCGGTCTGCATGTGAAATTCACAACAGCAGAAAAAAGAAAACGGCAGAGGAATCGCATAATTATAGAAACGCAATGAAAGACACTCATATGACTTCGTTTTCATGTCTTTTTTGAGGTACTGTAGCTGATTTTTTTTCAATGAACCTTCGAAAATTCCCTGTTGACATCGAATTTTTGGGTCCTTTTATTTTATTTTTTTTACTTTATATTTTCTGTCTAAAACTTGTTCCCTGTAAATTTGTTCTAGGTCCTTACAGCGACCTGGAAACTGACACGGATGCTGGGGACTACAGTGACTATGACAACTTTCTGCCCGAATTCCGCGCCGCCGCTGACGGCCAACAACAGCAACACCACCATCAACAACAACAACAAAAGCAGCAACAACAGGCCCAATTTTGGCCCAAGAGTCACCACCGTCGACAGCGATCCGAGTCTGACGACGGTGACGATGATGACGACGACGACGAGGAGGATGAGGAAGATGAGCACGAACGTTGTGTAAACGAAGGTGAGACATTGTTCTCGATTATTTTATGAATGTGCACCGGAGAAAAAAGGATCACTGAGTGTTGAGGTTAAAATCTTGTAAAAAAAAAAAAAGGTCTTGACGTGGGAAAATTCACTTTCTTCTGCCGCTAGAAACAGTTCTGTATGAATACATTGCGCATTTACTTTGTCTTTCACGCACACTTTGAGATGCACGTTATTTTGAGCAGTTGAATGGATGCGTTTTTTTAGTTACATTTTATTTTCATTTGCTTACACTGTGAAGTACCGGTATTATAAAAAAAATCCACTCTGAGCTCAATTAAGCATTCGCTTCAATTGTGATTCGAAATTCATTAGGGGAAAATGGAGAAGGAAAGGTCGATTCAAAGTAAAAAAGAACAACAGCACTGATTCACTGCTGATCCCTTCATCGGTATTTCAATGAAGTCAAATTCTTGAATGTGGGCAAGTTTATATTTTCACTTTAGGTGCCTCCATCACACGTTTGAGTTCCACGTATTTCGTCGCACTTCATTTTCTTCACTAGGAAAAATTAATTTGCTATTCAAGATCAATTTTTAGTGGAATTTAAAGAGTTTGACAATGTTTCATTCACACTGACACACACACACACACAAATTTTCTTAACGTATAATCCGAAGGGGAGCAACGAGGGCTGCAGGCGCCGTTGTTCAAGTCGCCGTTTGCCGGCGGAGAAGACCAGCGGCGGTTGCATGGCGGTCGGCCGCCTCCGCCGCCGTACCTTCAGCAAGGCGACGGCGGCCTGTATGTTCCGCAGGCTCCGACCGCCGCCGCCGGCAGAAGGGCGGACTCTGGCAGTGGCAGCCGCACTCCGTCTGGTCAGTTTGCTCGTCGCTGCTCCTTACGCATTGCACCACAGATGCCATATACAGTAAAATCTCTTTACAACGAATACCGTTACGACAAATATTTATGTGTAACAAGCTTCTTTTTTTCTCTCTCTGAAGTCCCGGCAAAAATCCGGAACACTGTCCATTGTTCAACGGAAAAAAAATATGTGGCGAACCCAGTCCATTGCGCAAAATATTAAGTACAGTAGGACCCCGAGATGCGGACGTAATTGGTGCATGGACCTTGTCCCTAAGTCAGAATGTCCGCATGTTGGACCTCGTTTGCCCATAGACTTCAATGGGGAATATATTTAATTGGTTCTCCTTCAGATCAATGATATAGAAAAAGCCCCCCAAGAATTGGATAAAATAATTTTTCTCGACATCGAGATACTGAAAATGAATTTTAAGAAGAAAACTACCCAGGATCTGATCTTTTGGCATCAGAAGGATCTCAAGAAGCAAAGAGCAAGAACAAGTCTTGCTATACTGAGCACACATGATGGAAAACAGTGAAAAATAAGCACAAAATTTGACTGAATTTGATCACAAAACAGGGTAATTTTTTTAAAAATTTTTAAAATGTAAATGTAAATTGCTCAATTTCTTCAGGAGATGGAAAACTTTAGAAAAATACAATTTTTACAGAAATCTTGGAGGTGTCCGTATCTCGAGTCGCCGTCCAGATGTTTGGGGTAGATTTTTTTCAGTTCTAAGTGTCCCTGAGTCGAATTGTCCGTATGTGAGGGTCCCGCTGTATTTGAGGTGTTCTTTATTCGGCGTGTTATTATATTATTTTCTTCTTGCTGTTTACAGGCAACTGATGGGGGAATCAGCGGAGCCTGCAAAAAGTTCGCAGATGTTGAAAGACTCCCGCGCAAAATCTGAAGCGAACCTTTTGTTTTTGGAACCCCGTCTCTTTCATCCCGGAAGGAAAACAAAAACAAGATTCTTCGGGACTTTTTCTTCGTCGAAAGGAAGAATCAGTCGGAATTTGCGTCAGCGCACAAAAGGAAAGCAGACCGGAATTGACCCACTTGTGTGCCACCTTGCCCACGTACGTCGCATCCCTGTTCAATCGGCTTGGCTGTGCTGGACTCATCACTTTGGAACGAGAGCGATAAAAGAAAACTGTCGTTTTGAGCAGTCGTGTGTGTTTGTGTGTGGGTGGGAGCTTCGTTTTCGAAGAAGAAAAAAAAAACGTATGCTTTTTTTTTGCCCGCCGATAATTTTTCTTTTTTGTGTGTTCATGATGTTAAGACATTGTTGAGACGCGCGCCGTAATTTTTTCGGCTGTGCGTTTTCTGGAAAGGAAAAGAAAAAAGTGACAGGCCAACTTTGCTCTGGGAAATTTGCGCATCGGCCGCATATGAGCGTCAGGGACAAATGATTGTCAGAGACACTTGAGGTTCAAATTGTTTTCTCAAAAATTAGTTCACTACTTCTTCCATGTTTCCATTATGGGTTTAGTTAATTACTTTTTGGCTCGCCGTATCTAAATGCGTAAAATTTGCACTGGTCTTTTTCTGAGGGAATTTTGTATTCTATACTAACTCATTTTCGGCCAATATCATGTAACGCAGCGCTTCTGTGAATTCAAATCATTCGTGCGGTAAAATTTATTTGGCCTGCCTTTTTTGAATACTACTTCGAAAATTGGCAGGTTTCTTCTCGGTAAAGGCCGCATTGTTCTATCATTGTTCCTGCCGTCGCAAATTGTACCCTATAATTGCTCATCAAAATCTAGTTCTTGCTTGTAATACGCTTTCGTTACCTGCATGAATGGTTTTATCTGCCCTGTTTTTCAGCGAATGATTTTGGTTTCGATTAGTTGGAAAGAATTTCATTCACGATCCTTTTAGATTGCTTGAATATGCTGTAAAGAATAGGGAAAATGATGAATATTTTATAAGGACGGAACATCGGAGAGTATAAGTCATTCATTTGCCGGGAAAACCATTTGATTTCTAATCAGGTGTCCGGCACTCATTTCTCTAGTACTTGACCCCGCGCCCTGAAAAGCGAGTCTCTGTGTTTTTTTTTTTTAATGGAAAACACGAGAGATAATTTTCGGAAAGAGTGAAGATCAAACGCATCATTGGCTGAAATTAACGCGGAATTCCGTGATCTTGTTTTATCGTTTCTTGCATTTGTCAAGAAACTTGCGTTGGTTCCTGAAGAAGTTTGGGAATTTTCTCGCGAACATTGCCGTCGTTTTTTGATATCGCAGTGCGTTCGGCTGCGAACAGGCCTTTGAAGAGCCACTTTTTTTTCGTTGAGAAGCATGGAGGGAATTCAGAGGAAATTCCTAGATCTCATTGAAGCATGTTCACGAAATTGGAGGAAAAGTTTCTCGAGCTGACCATTTCTTAATAATCGTTTCACATCCCGGAAGCTGATGTTTGTGAAAGACGCGACCTTTTTTTCCAAGTTGGTGAAAAATATTGTGATTTTTTTGTTCGCCAGCGCGTTAATTTGTTTTTCTAGGATGACTGACGCGTTGTTGGTTTTCCATTTGATGGCCAGATTGTGAAATTTTTTCCATGCGTTGCCCTAACTTGATGTTTTTCAAAGAATCCCTGTTTCAAAATTGTTTTAGAAGTGGGCAAGCTTGGGATTTTGAACCAAGTTTGTCTTTGTCGGAGAAGAACTTTCATGATTGAAAATGTTTTCTTACTGTAATGGTGTCTTCGCTGTTTAACATGACGGAAAGAAGGTTAGATTACGCATTATGTCTTAGGAAAATCGGATTTTTATGCGAATTATAAACTAATTCTCGGAGCTGATGACGTTGTATTCATTCATTCATTTTCCTTTTTTGAGACGTGTACGGTTGAAATTGAAGTCGCCCACTTTAGCGAGTTGTAGATAAATTCTGACTGGCGCTGGATATTTGTCCAAACGAGGAGAGCAGAGTATTCCGATGTATGGAACGTTTCTTTCCTTGATCTTGAGAGAAACTACCTTATGAATGGTACCACAATTTCAGTACCATGCGTGCACTACACTGGAGTTCCCTAAGTAATAATCTACCTGGAATTTTGCGCGACACTGGTTAAGGCATGGTTTTTGTGTATTCATCATTCATCCACAAATGAAATTTGAAATCATTCACGCTCAGGCGTGGCGTGAGTGCGTGACTATCTAGGGATTCTAGGCGAAGTACAGTACATGATCCTAAAATCATGCGTTCACCGCCTGGGGTGAATTTTCGATAAGAAAAGCCAGTGTAGTTTTTCTGGCATGTAGATGTCGCTCAAATGAGCATTGTAATCATTTGCATTGAGGTTCAAAATGCAATCGCGTCGCTTCGTTGCACAGCTATCACATTTGCAGTACAGTACTGTGTAGTACTTTAATACAGTATTTTCAGTCTGACTTAAGAAGCTCTTGAATACAGTAACCCCTCGCAACTTCTATAAACTTCCCCTCTCTTGACGGAGCCACAGTGAATTGAAATTCGTTTTTCAGAACTAAGAATCTGAAAATTTTCTCTCTGGAGCTCATGAGCAATACTTTCTTTTAAGTGATGGAAATGGTTGGCATTATTTTCATGGAAATTTTAATGACGTTCATCAAACTACAGTGTTAGCTCTGCCGTGAATACTGCAGGAATTTCATCATTTTGAAACAATGCAAGTCCAATCTCCTAAGATCGATGGATTTTTCACACACAAAAGATTGGAGAAAATTCTCACATTTTCGTTTACAGAAAGGAAAAATTAAGTTTGATTAATTTGGTGCATACCATCAGTTAAACATTCAAAAACGTGATGGTTCCTGTGACATAGCAAATCGGCATTTATATCAAATATCTTATTGCAATTCTTCTTTGTCCATCTTATTGCAAAAAAAACGCATATTTGCTATACAGTATTGTTGTTCAGTACGTTAGGTCCTTATGAAGTAAGAAAACACATTTAGTAAAATAATTTGCTTTAGAAATTCGCCCAAGCAAACAAGAACTGTGTCGGCCGAATTATTCAAATTATAAATCAAAGTACAGTACTGTACTTCAGTACGTTCTGTGTCTTATAATCAGAAGGATCTCAAGAAGCAAAGAGCAAGAACAAGTCTTGCTATACTGAGCACACATGATGGAAAACAGTGAAAAATAAGCACAAAATTTGACTGAATTTGATCACAAAACAGGGTAATTTTTTTTAGAATTTTTAAAATGTAAATGTAAATTGCTCAATTTCTTCAGGAGATGAAAAGCTTTAGAAAAATACAATTTTTTACAGAAATCTTGGAGGTGTCCGTATCTCGAGTCGCCGTCCAGATGTTTGGGGTAGATTTTTTTCAGTTCTAAGTGTTCCTAAGTCGCATTGTCCGTATGTGGGGGTCCCACAGTATTTGAGGTGTTATTTTATACGGCGTGTTATTTTATCCTACTCTTCTTGATGTTTACAGGCAACTGAAGGGGGAATCAGCGGAGCCTGCAAAAAGTTCGCAGATGTTGAAAGACTCCCGCGCAAAATCTGAAGCGAACCTTTTGTTTTTGGAACCCCGTCTCTTTCATCCCGGAAGGAAAACAAGAATAAGTCGGGATTTGCGTCAGCGCACAAAAGGAAAGCAGACCGGAATTGACCCACTTGTGTGCCACCTTGCCCACGTACGTCGCATCCCTGTTCAATCGGCTTGGCTGTGCTGGACTCATCACTTTGGAACGAGAGCGATAAAAGAAAACTGTCGTTTTGAGCAGTCGTGTGTGTTTGTGTGTGGGTGGGAGCTTCGTTTTCGAAGAAGAAAAAAAACGTATGCTTTTTTTTTTGCCCGCCGATAATTTTTTTTTTTTGTGTTCATGATGTTAAGACATTGTTGAGACGCGCGCCGCAATTTTTTCGGCTGTGCGTTTTCTGGAAAGGAAAAGAAAAAAGTGACAGGCCAACTTCGCGCTGGGAAATTTGCGCATCGGCCGCATACATGAGCGTCAGGGACAAATGATTGTTAGAGACACTTGAGGTTGAAATTGTTTTCTCAAAAATTAGTTCACCACTTCTTCCATCTTTCCATCATGTGTTGAATGATTACTTTTTGTCTCGCCGTATCTACATGCGTAAAATTTGCACTGGTCTCTTTCTGAGGGAATTTTGTGTTCTATACTAACTCATTTTCGGCCAAAATCATGTAACGCAGCGCTTCTGTGAATTTAAATCATTCCTACGGTAAAATTTCTTTGGCCTGCCTGTTTTGAATACTAATTGGAAAATGGCATGTTTCTTCTCGGTAAAGGCCGCATTTTTCTATCATTGTTCCTGCCGTCGCAAATTGTACCCTGTAATTGTTCATTAAAATCTTGTTCTTGCTTGTAATACACTTACATTACCTATATGCATGGTTTTATCTGCCCTGTTTTTCAGCGAATGATTTTGGTTGCGATTATTTGGAAAGAATTTCATTCACGATCCTTTTAGATTGCTTGAATATGCTGTAAAGAATAGGGAAAATGATGAATATGTTATAAGGACGGAACATCGGAGATTATAAGTCGTTCATTTGCTGGGGAAACCATTTGATTTCTAATCAGGTGTCCGGCACTCATTTCTCTTTAGCGCTCACTTGACCCCGCGCCCTGAAAAGCGAGTCTCTGTGTTTTTTTTTTAAATGGAAAACACGAGAGATAATTTTCGGAAAGAGTGAAGATCAAACGCATCATTGGCTGAAATTAACGCGGAATTCCGTGATCTTGTTTTATCGTTTCTTGCATTTGTCAAGAAACTTGCGTTGGTTCCTGAAGAAGTTTGGGAATTTTCTCGCGAACATTGCCGTCGTTTTTTGATATCGCAGTGCGTTCGGCTGCGAACAGGCCTTTGAAGAGCCACTTTTTTTTTTCGTTGAGAAGCATGGAGGGAATTCAGAGGAAATTCCTAGATCTCATTGAAGCATGTTCACGAAATTGGAGGAAAAGTTTCTCGAGCTGACCATTTCTTAATAATCGTTTCACATCCCGGAAGCTGATGTTTGTGAAAGACGCGACCTTTTTTTCCAAGTTGGTGAAAAATATTGTGATTTTTTTGTTCGCCAGCGCGTTAATTTGTTTTTCTAGGATGACTGACGCGTTGTTGGTTTTCCATTTGATGGCCAGATTGTGAAAGTTTTTCCATGCGTTGCCCTAACTTGATGTTTTTCAAAGAATCCCTGTTTCAAAATTGTTTTAGAAGTGGGCAAGCTTGGGATTTTGAACCAAGTTTGTCTTTGTCGGAGAAGAACTTTCATGATTGAAGATGTTTTCTTACTGTAATGGTGTCTTCGCTGTTTAACATGACGGAAAGAAGGTTAGATCACGCATTATGTCATAGGAAAATCGGATTTTTATGCGAATTATAAACTAATTCTCGGAGCTGATGACGTTGTATTCATTCATTCATTTTTCTTTTTTGAGACGTGTGCGGTTGAGATTGAAGTCGCTCATTTTAATGAGTTGATATAGTTAATTTCTGACTGGCTTTTCTTTAGAAAATTCGACCCTGGAAATTTGTCCAAACGAGGACAGCAGAGTATTCCGAAGCATGGAACGTTTCTTTCCTTGAATTCGAGGGAAACTACCTTATGAATGGTACCACAATTTCAGTACCATGCGTGCACTTCACTGGAGTTCCCCAGGTAATAATCTACCTGGAATTTTGCGCGACAATGGTTAAGGCATGGTTTTTGTGTATTCATCGTTCATCCACAAATGAAATTTGAAATCATTCACGCTCAGGCGTGGCGTGAGTGCGTGACTATCTAGGGATTCTAGGCGAAGTACAGTACCTCATCCTAAAATCATGCGTTCACCGCCTGGGGTAACTTTTCGATAAGGAAAGCCAGCGTAGTTTTTTTGGCATGTAGATGTCGCTCAAATGAGCTTTGTGATCAATTGCATGGGGGTTTAAAATGCAATCGCGTCGCTTCGTTGCACAGCTATGACATTTGCAATACAGTACAGTATTTTCAGTCTGACTTAAGAGTTAAGAAGCTCTTGAATACAGTAACCCCTCGCAACTTCTATAAACTTCCCCTCTCTTGACGGAGCTACAGTGAATTGAAATTTGTTTTTCATAACTATAAGAATCTGAAAATTTTCTCTCTGGAGTTCATGAGCAATACTTCATTTTAAGTGATGGAATTGGTTGGCATTATTTTCATGGAAATTTTAATGACGTTCATCAAACTACAGTGTTAGCTCTGCCGTGAATACTACAGGAATTTCATTATTTTGAAACAATTCAAGTCCAAGCTCCTAAGATCGATGGATTTTTCACACACAGCAGATTAGAGAAAATTCTCACATTTTTCATTTACAGAAAGGAAAAATTAAGTTTGATTGATTTGGTGCATACCATCAGTTAAACATTCAAAAACGTGATGGTTCCTGTGACATCAAAGCAAATCGACATTTATATCAAATACATTATTGCAATTCTTCTTTGTTCATCTTATTGCTAAAAAAAAACGTATCTTTGTTATACAGAATTGTTTTTCAGTACGTTAAGTCCTTATGAAGTGAGAAAACACATTTAGTAAAATAATTTGCTTTAGAAATTCGCCCAAGCAAACAAGAACTGTGTCGGCCGAATTATTCAAATTATAAATCAAAGTACAGTACTGTACTTCAGTACGTTCTGTGTCTTATTCTTCCAAAGGATGATTCACTGGAAATATATTACTGTATCTGTGATTTTTACTGAACTCTGGTCACAATCTCCTCCCCATGATCATGGTCATTTCATCAAACTTCGACAAATTGTATGACCACTCGCCTAAATCATGAAACAAATGACGTGGAATAATGACATGCCAGAAGAAAACTTTCATTTTATTCTACAATATTTTTTTCAAACGGTGTACTCATCAGACGCGCCGAAAGGATTTTTATTATATCTTCAATGTTCCAAAAATGTCTCTCAGGAAACCCAGAATTGGTTGATAAACTAACTTTGGTGCGTCATCAGAGAAAACGAAATCCGTATGAGTGAATCCAGGAACAGCAAGAAGCCTCTTGGCTTCAGGCAGCGATAACCTGATCTTCTCACTATCCTGAGAATGAAAAAAAAACTTGAACGGCTTTTTCTCTTTCAATTCAGAGAATGCTTCGAAGTCTTTTCAACACGCATGTATCAATTTAAAAATGGCTCAGTTTTGATAGATTATTGCACTGTACATGAATACAGTACTTACTAAGACAGTCGCTGTTTTATCTGCACTTCCAGCAACCAGGTAAACGGGAACATTCGTCTTTTTCACGTCGTACAAAGTTGGGATTAGTGATCCATATCGCTGATCAAAATTAGAAGTGAGCAAGATTTTTTTTTACATATTCACCGGTTTGAATGATCCGTTAATAAGCAACGTATAAAATTGCCATTTTACCTGAAGATTTTTCCGTGGTCCCCAGTCAAGAGCCTGGAACCTCTTTGTCGTCAGCAACTGAGTGTAAAAATCGTAAGTGGACAGCGCCCATGGAATGGCATAGCCCGGCCAGACCCTTTCAATTACTTCCTGGAGATTAAAAAAAAAAACGAATTCATCTACAGTATACAGTACATATCTCTTGCAGTTTTGGAATGTCCCTTATTTCGATGAGAACCAGCCAACAGACCCTTCGCACTTGGGGTGCGATTCCGTGGGCTGCAAGTGTCTCCAGTGCTGGGGGATGCAGGGTGAAAACTTTCAATAAGGCATTCGCATCAGGAGGAAGTGAAGAAGAAATTGCTTCGGGCGTGGGGAACCTGAAAACTCGTTTCGCATCCAGCTCTTTCTGCAAAATAAAAGAGAGAGGACCTCAATTCATTCATTTCAGTGGCTTTCATTAATTTGAATTGCAAAATTTACCCCTTTTTTGTTGACATGATTACCTGTTTTAGATATAAGAATAGCTGACAAGAACGAATAAAATTCAACGGGGTCGCGTTTACAAACGTTCCTATATGCGTTTATCTTTGCCGTTATTTGGTCACAAGCGTTTTGGGAAGATTTTCGTTATAATTCGTGACAGCACAATTCGATTAAAAAAAAAATATTTTATCTTTTTGACCTCAATTCAGTCATTTCAGTGGCTTTCATTAATTTGCAGCTCCTTCTGCAAAATAAAAGAGAGAGGACCTCAATTCAGTCATTTCAGCGGCTTTCATTAATTTCAATTGCAAAATTTACCCCTTTTTTGTTGACATGATTACCTGTTTTAGAAAAAAGAAAAGCTGACAAGAATGAATAAAATTTAACGGGGTCGCGTTTATACAAACGTTCATATATGTGTTTATCTTTGCCGTTATTTGGTCACAAGCTCTTTGCGAAGATTTTCGTTATAACTCCTAACAGCACAATTCGATTAAAATAAAAAGATTTAATGAATTCTTTTTGGAAGATGTAACAGTTGAAAGTGAATAAATTGTGGTACTGCATGTTCTGAACTTGAGGCGAGGGAATAAACCAGTTGACTTTACTCAGAATTATACAGTATATAACACATGCAACCTGCAATATAATTTAATTGAAAGTCATTCATATTACCCCGAATTTTCGTCAGCTTCTTCTAATCTCATTTATTGACATAAAAAGTTACATATCATGTTTGGTGTCTCATAATGTTTTCATGACCAATCATGGATATAAAATGAAATAAAGGCGGCCTGGAGAAGTTAGCAATTGACTGAAAAAATTATCTTAGCATGGACTCGAATACCTTTCCAACGATACAAAATAGCATTCATGAACTATATGCGCTCGGGTATTCGAACATAAATTTATCTGGAATTTTTTTTGCAGAGCTTCTGAAAGCATTTGTTTTGTTCGTTTTCAATAATGCATACCCTGTATGCTCCGGTAGGCTGTAAAAACCTCGCAATGGCCAAGAATTTTTCATCCGTCAGGAAGCTCATGTCCATCACGGGGGCCATCATAATAGCTGCTTGAACTTTCTTACGACATGCTTCGGGATGATAGTGACAGTAGATGAAGAATGACTGGGTGCCCAAGGAGTAGCCAGAATACACTAGTTTAGCTTTTCCAGAGTGGTACAAAACAGCGTTGATCAATGCTGGCAGATCGTGTTTTCCGTGTTCATCCGGCCTTGTAACGAATGATTTTACTTCGCATTAGTTATTTTTTTCATGCAAAAATCTATTTCAGCAATCGGACTATGCATGATCCAGTTCTAAACTTGATTGTACAATGATGATATTTTAAAACAGGCTTTCACATGTCAGACACGTATGAAAAATCGTGGACAACTGAATTATGAATGGAAATAAATGTTTGGCCATTTAATTCAAAAATACGTTTTTATACAATAGAAATGCTAATCTCGATAATGCTTGGAATATTAATTTTTATTGATGGATCTCACATGAAACTGTAATTTCCTATTGAGAATTTAAATGTTGTAGAGTTTTGTTAATATAAACAGTATAACAAGCGTGAGAAAAATTCTCTACATCCTACATGTGACTGAGTTCATCCAGGAAATTATAGTTCGTTAAATGTTGGGGGGGGGGGGGTTTGGAAAAACCATTGTATACCGTAATTCAGTGATTTTTTTCATCCATTCCAGAAATATTATGTTGAGGATTGCTTCCAAAATATCCTAAGGGTGTTTTTTTTTTCTTAAAAAAAAACTGAGTGTGTCAACGTTCTTTGAATACTCACGTGAAATCCCAAAAAGGCTTTTCACTGGGGTTTAAAAATGTGTGCCGAGAGGCTTCTGGAGAACCCCTGAAGTTTCCCAGCCAAACATCATACCCCTTTTCAGCCAACATAAACGCTGTAAAAAAAAAAACAAAGCGATCTTTCGGTGATTATTTCGAATTATAATAAAGTGCTCAAAATCTGTCACACCGTAAGCAGAATGAGGTCCAAGGCCTGTCCATATCAAGGAACTGCTCATGAGTCCATGTAATATCAAAATTGGAAATTTTCCCTTGTGGATATTGACTCCTGATTTACGTTGTATCCGGGTCAGCCTTGAAATGTAACCATCGTCGGTTGTTGCATCGAAAGACTGCGTTCGAAAGCCGAAATCATTGGAAACAGTTTCCTGTGATTGAAAGCAGGAAGAAAATTTTGAGGAATTCAACTTGATTTTCGATTTATGACACCCAGAAAGAAGTTTACAAGTTTTATCTTTATTTTGCGATGCAGTTGTTTTCAATGCTCAAGCTTTACTTGAACACTAAATCAGAAGAGTATGGGATAAAAATCTTCTGAAATTACTCAGTTTAACTTCTGTGAATTTTTCAATATTGCAGGTCTCAATTTTGCGGTAAAAGACTAGATACTTAGTCTACTGAGGCAAGAACTTCTTTTGAAATGGAATTGATTAATCGAATTTCGCCTTAAAGCGACGTAAATTATTTTAATACAGTACAACAAAAACTTCAAAATTTGCACATATTTTGACAAATAGACAAAGAAACAACAAATAAAGTGAGAGTAGTTTCTGCGTAATCAAATAAGTATTTTTAAATTAACTTTGTTTCGGGATTGAAATTCAACTTCAACTGACCTAATCTTACTATTTTCTTCATATCACGAGAAGACCAATTTTCAGCATCAGAGTCTTGAATGGTTTTGTAATAAATTAGGCATTATATTAATAATGAATCTTTTATTGTTTGGTATGCAATATTTTGCAGCACTTATACCTCCTGTGAATTCATTAAACCTGCATATGAGTTTTTCAGTTTAACGAAATTTCGTTGAAATTTTTTTTTTCAATTGTCTGCATTCAACCTGAGGTAGCAAAGCTAGAGACAGTGGTCAGAAATCATAATCGTGAAAATTACATAAACCGTGCAAGACTGAACCAAGTACAAAAGCAAAATAGTGACAAAATAACTCATGAACGTTTTTCTGAAATGCTCACGTCATGGGTTAAAGAAGAAGGCGAATCACTTACAGTTGGAAAAGAGATCCTTTGACAGCCACAAATTTTGACTGAAAAACCAGCACACAAAATCATCACAACGGAGAGGGTCCAGGAAGAGGTCATCTTTTTTTCTTTTTTGAAAATAAACTATTCGAAAAAAGTAGGTTGAACTATTTGTCACCGGAATTCCGACGAAATAACAAGTCTTAGAGATCACTGGCACTGAATTCAGTTCCACTCATTGGTGCACTTATTTTTTCTTTTTTGAAAATAAACTATTCGAAAAAAGTAGGTTGAACTATTTGTCACCGGAATTCCGACGAAATAACAAGTCTTAGAGATCACTGGCACTGAATTCAGTTCCACTCATTGGTGCACTTAAAGCCTTTTTGAATTACCGGACAAAACGATTTGGAAGGAAATGAAGTCCCAACATTTGAGCAGTTCATCGTTGTTCCCTTTCCATTCACGTATATAATGAAGCACTCTCTTGAACATGATTTTATTTAGAGCCATTACAAGCACGAAGGAGTTGGTGTTCGTGTGAGTAACAGTCCACCGAAGATAAGCAAAAAATGAATTACCTTATTGTTGGACTGATCAAGGTTTAGGATAAGTGATATTCCTTGACCAAATACGTACATTTTTCGAGAAAAGAGAAGCAAAAGTTTCTTTGAGATATTTGATCAAGCCAAACAAGCCCGATTTTTCCTAAAATCGAGAAGATTCTGAGTTCTGAATTCCAGAGAACTGGACAAGATGAGAATATATACTGCTAAATTTGTTCATATCTTCACGATTACGCCAAAAATTCCGAATGTTGTTGCTCAATGGAAACTGCGGAACATAAATAAACGAAGCCAGGTATTTGTTTGAATAGGACGGGTGTGAAGTAAACGGGCAATATAAAAGTGCAGTACCAGCATTTGCACAAAAAGTGTCCACGCAGCATCAATTTAAAGGTTTACAGGTATACA